TAATTTGAGATTTCCACTTGGAAGTTCACAAAACCACGACAAGTGTTTCGCTATACAATACCATCTTCAGGCATTAACAATAGTGACTAAGCAAATTGTGTCATGTTTCTATAGTAATTTGAATGTCAATGACTATTTTTACTATCTGACAAATTCCTACAAGATAAATTAATCACCTGAACTAATCACTCCTCTAGGACCAACTCATGAAACTGGAGAATAATGAATAATTTTTTGCTGCGAACTGGTTTATTTTGGGCGAAAAACCCAAGAGACATTTTTTGTTTAGAAAGAAACAGGCTATCGGAAATAAATTTTTAAATGGTAAACAAATAAGACAAAAAGTTACATTGGAAATAAATTTTAGGGGTTGCGTTTTCCACCCCTTACAACCACGGGGTAAACCAAATAAATTACTGGATAAGTGTCTTTTTGGTAGTACAAAACGTCAGGTTAATTTCAATATTGTAACTTTTTCAGTGCTTGTGAAAAAATTTTTATACAAATTTTATGTACCTCCTTTAAGGGGCTGTATCTCAACAAGGGATGCTGCAATGAAGTTTCTTATATGAAAGATCCTATCTTTTTTTCGATGAGGAAGCACCTCCTTAAATGTTTTACACTTATTCAGTTGCACCCTGTATTTGATCATCGAGCAATAATCCCGAATTCATGAATCTATTAATTTTTAAGCAAATGGTTGAGTTTTGAACGTTTCTCTTCCAAATGCAATACGTCATGGTTTGCGAATGTTGAATTGGTCTTCTCATTCAAAATACTACTCGTATGATCTTTCATTCTTTTGGAGAAAGTTATTCCGGTTTGGCCAATATAAAATTTTGGGCAAGAACCACGTATCAACTTATATACTCGCGATCTATTCGACGCTGGAGTTTCATTTTTATGTTTTTTAATGAGTTTACTCGAATTATTATTTATTCTGTAGGCTACGACCAAACAGTTTCGTAGTATTTGTTGGGAGTTTGCATTGAATTAGAAAAGGATCATAATTGGTGACAGACTTCGTAAACAAACGAACATAACTAAAATAAAATAAAAGTTCAACTGTGTTTCTATTCCTTATATTACTCTCAATCTGCGGTGAACTGACTAAATCCAATGGTGTGGATGTTTAGAGTTCAATTTGAAATATTCATTTTCAAATTTCTCTGCGTTTCGATATTCAGTGATGTCAGGTAAAACAAGCGGGCACACTACCAAAATTACGAACTTCCCATTAAAAAATCTGACTCCCCACAACCGGATGTCGATAATCATACCAAACTGGTATAAAAAGCGAAGAAAAAATATATCTCTTCGAAGCTACTTCTGTGAATTCTGTGAGTGAACCCGTCCATTACTCATTCTGAATACAATCTCAGGATGTTTATATTACGTATCTGTACTCATGATTGCTCACGCATATCAATTTGAATTCAGTTAAATGAATTTTGCCGTCGAAATGTGAGGACATGTAACATTTTTTACCGTTTTCGTTGTGCAAATTATGGAATTCGAGAAACTAGTAACATTAATTCATATTTTCCATTAAAAATATTCACTTTTTTTACAGACGGAAGATGTCTGTCTCTAGACGCTATTCTGAGTCAACCCACTCCTACTTTTTTTGAGGCATTCATTAATCAAAAAAACCTTGCATGAATAATAAAAAAGAAACAGAAAATATTGAGCAAAGTCTCGATATTTAAAGGCATTTTAATATACAGGGCGTTTCAAAAAAAACTTGACCCCCCCTGTGAGTCAGAAACGGACATATAATCAAAAAGTTTCAAGACCACGTCAATTTCTATTTCTAGGGGGACTAATTCTGATATAGAAATCGTACTCGAAACTTCACCCCCCTGCGGTGCGCAACTACCCCCCCTCGTATTTTTTTAAATGACATGGGGGGTCGAGTGATACATCCTTTGAAAGGTATTTGTCCCTGTATTACTTCTGTAATTTTTTTCGGAATTGATTCATTCGTTATTGAGCGATTTAATGTTGAAAGTTTTATTCAGGTAAAAACAGACAATTCGCTGTCGCTTATTTTATTGCGGAATTCATCAAAAGTAATATCAATAGCAACACAATCAACGAATAAAGGGTTCAAAATTACCCCCATCTAGTTCCATACATAGGGGGGTAGTTGCTGTCCGCAGCGGGTGAAGTTTTGGGTATGATTTTCATATCAGAATTAGTCCCCCTAGAAATAAAAATTGTCGTGCTCTTAAATATTTTCGATTACATGTCCGTTTCTGACTTAAGGGGGGGGGTCAAGTTTTCGTTGAAATACCCTGTATACCAATAGCATTGACAAGTAATACTAGTTTGAAGAGTACATGAAAAGATTCAACGAAAGTCATTTTTTGTGGAGGAAAAAAATTAGTTTTTTTTTCGACCTTTTTTGGGTAATTGTTACACAATCTGAAAAAAAATATAAAAATTATAATGGAGAACTTTATACAAGTGTAGAAGGGCAAACTTTCAGTTTACCCCGATAAGTTACTGCGTAAAAATCAAAGTATTTTTCACAAAGAAAAATCTTCTATTTATCAGTAACTTGTCGTATTTAACAATTTTACCTATCAAAAAAATTATCAAGAAATAACAATTATCTTTTACGTTTTGGAGGCCAAAATCTGCCTCCGTCTTCAGAAATGGATAAAAAATAAAAATTCGAATATATACGCAGTTATTCCTTTTTTGATAGCTTATTTCTTTACATCTTCGACAGATGTCAAAGAAGTTTTGAAATATGAAATTATGTCAATGTTGTTGATTGACAACTGAAACATTCGATGTAATACAAGGTACTCTCCGATATCAGTTTGTTGTCATTTCGCCACTATCCAAAGTTTTCTTCAAGATGGGTAGCCAAGTACGGTCTATTTCTAAGGAGCTATTCGAGATACAATTCTCTCCAGATATGAGAATATACGCCGATTCTTTTAGCTTACGTCTCTTAGAATGAGGCTCATTGGTAATCTTTCTTGTTCTATTCCATTCCACCCGATGTTCACCGTCTGATTTTAAAATGTGTTCTGATAATTTTGATCCTGTCAATTGTCACGCATGGTCTTGAGGTTTCACCAATGTAACTTTTACCACAAGAACAAGGTATTTTATAAATACAATTTTTTGTTTTTTCTTCAGTGTTGTTGGGTTTTGTGTGTGTGAGTATAGATCTCAGTGTATTTTTTGTTTTGAAAGTAGTTCTAACATCATATCTATTTCCAATTCGTCTTATTTTTTCAGATAGATGTTGTTGAATTTGTGAAGCTGTTTGTATGTTCGTTTGGTTTTTTATTTGACTATTTATTTTCTATTGAATTTATTGTTGAATTTATGAAAGAATCTGGATAAGCGTTATCTTTCAAAACAGATTTAATTAATGATATTTCTTCATTGAGATTTTCAGTTGAATTGCATATCAAACACTCGCATGATGATTTGATGTATAGTGGAGATATCTATTTGTATGTGTTTTCTTCCGATAAACATTTGTATCAAATTGATTTGATGACTTCTCCAACATTACATCAAGGAAAGGGAGTCGAACATCTTGTTCAATCTCTATTGTGAATTTTATTGTCGGCTCCCGCTCGTTGATATAATTCAAAAAAGTGTTCAGGTCATCATTGTTTCTATTCCAAACAGCAAAAATATCGTCAACGTATCTCCACCAAACTTTGGGACCATTCTGATAAGTTTCAACAAAAGATTCTTCAAAATACTCCATATATAAGTTACTTAAGATGGGAGATAAAGGGGAACCCATAGCCCATATTTTTTATCCATTTCTGGAGACGGAGGCAGATTTTGGCCTCCGAAACGTAAAAGGTAAGTGTTATTTCTTAATAATTTTTTTGATAGGCAAAATATTTAAATACGACAAGTTACTGATAAATAGAAGATTTTTCTTTGTGAAAAATACTTTGATTTTTACACAGTAACTTATCGGGGTAAACTAAAAAGTTTGCCCTTCTACACTTGTATAAAGTTCTCCATTATAATTTTTATATTTTTTTCAGATTGTGGAAGGTAACAATTACCCAAAAAAGGTCGATAAAAAAACATGAAAAGAGTAATGATATTTCTTATTATCAAAAAAAAATCATGAAGTGAATATTTTGGGTTTGTAGAACGAATGTCAACATTATGCAATTTTTATTGTAACTCGAAATACCTATAAATAAATATTTTTATATACTCGTACAAGGCAAACCGTCTCAAGAATAAAAAATTCGATTTTTTATCGAAGACGAAAAAACCGTTTAGAGAGAGACTTGCTTTCCTACAAAATCAAACTCGGGACTCGATTAATTCCAACGCGGTTTAACTACATGTAAGAAACTTCCAAGCGAAAAAGAAACTTCCCATGTACCAATACTCTAACAGAGATCATACCGTGTCTGAGGACTTGGAGCCCTGTTCACGAGGTAGAGCTGTTACTCGTTAAGAATCTTTCACTTTGGGCGAAGAGTTTATATATGCAGTTGAGCCGCGTTCAAATTAATCGGGTCGGATCTTTCTTGCACTGATGGAGGTAATACTTCGAAACCTGTCTGTAGGTGATCTTCAGGCATTGTTTTGCTGCTAGGCTAACCTCTGGGGTATCTTGCATAAATGCATGTCGTATATAATGTCCAGCATGGTATTAGCCGGGGAAGTAGTACCAGAACCTAAATTGGTAGCAAATTGACCAAAACGACTCTCCTCGATAGGAAACTAGACAGATTGTCTCTGGTCTGGATTCCTGGCCATACTAGGGAAGACAATGAGGCTGCTGACTTCCTTGCAAAGGAAGGTGCTGCAAACTTACACAAGAAAAGTGAAACAACCACTCACAGTGATATCATTAACATACAACAGAATCAGAATAGGGCCTAACATAGAACTCTGTGGCATACCACATTCAATTACCCTGCTCTCTAAGAGTTCTGTTATCTATGTTTAACTTCCGAACCGTTTTTGAAGTATTTTTCCGTTTGTTGCAGCAATTGAAAGATGATTTGTGCGAAGTCGTGTCTGAGATGGAGTCTCTTGACTCCGGAGAGGATGGTAAAAACAGCAACAAGACCAAAATGATGTCTATCGGTAGGAAGAAATTCAACATGGATCCAAAGAAAGGTGAGTTGAGTTATTTATCTTGTCAATGGTTCCAAAACCGGCACCGTTCCCAAACACCAGGACTGCAACACCATTCTCGACGCGCATTACATCTCAGAAAAATAAAAATCAGTATTAGAAAGCTGAGAACGAAAGGGAGAAGAGTCCTTTTAAGATGCATCTAATGAGTCACTCACGAAGAAGAAGTACAAAAAAACCATGAACTGATCTCTTTAAAAAAGTACTTCCCTTTTAAAATTCTACTGATCTCTATGACATAATCACATTAATTGACAGTTTTATTGGGGTGTATTCGAAATGTTTTGACGAGATTTTTTGCTTTGTAGGTATAGAGTACCTGATAGAGAAGGGGCTTCTACAGAACACGGCCGAAAGCGTAGCTCAATTCCTTCACAAGGGCGAAGGATTGAACAAAACTGCCATCGGGGATTATTTGGGAGAGAAGAACGACTTCAACGAGCAGGTGTTGCAAGCCTTCGTCGAACTGCACGACTTCACCGATCTGATACTGGTGCAGGCTTTAAGGTTAGTTCTCTTTTTTGGATAGTCGTATACGGTGGAATCATATCAGTTGAAGGGATAATAAAGTTAGCAAAGTGGGTTATTAATACTTTGTTCCGTTTCTTTCGCTTACACCATGAACATTTTAGTACTATACGATTTTTAATCTTCAACTTTCAGATGACCTTCAGAGATCACAAATTTGGAGTTACTCAAAGTCGTTCCCGTCAGTAAATTCAAAGTGCCCAAAGAAGCTCCACTATATACATAGATTTTCCCTCCCACTACCAAAATTAATGACTAAACTTTAGGATAAAAAATATATATTATACATTATGAAAATCTCAAGCAGGCTTCATCTAAAATACTAATATTAACAAAAATACATAAATTTTTGAAACACCAAACACCAATTTGAGAACTAAAGCTAATAGTAGTTTCGAAAGAAACTTTCTCAAATCAATGAATAATACCGATTTTGGCAAGACTATGGCGAATAATAGGCAAGATAGAATAGTACAATTAAGTAGGAAATGGAATGGAAGATATGGTGCCAAAAACCGACCGACCGCTCTTTTGCGTCTAAAACAAAAACATGAATTTGCCTCTGAAACACCACTCTTGACCTTCAAATAATTTTCAAGGTTGCGGTCAAGGGCAAGTCCAAGATAGCCATTGAACCTTCGAACTTCGAAAGATCTTCAGAGGTCAAATTTAGAGTTACTCAAGGTCATACTCAGTCGTAGTTTTTTCTCTTTTTGCGTTCAAAGCAGACACTATGGTTTTCCTTTCAAAACACCACCTTTGACTTCCATCGAATAGTTAGGAAAAACCTTAAAAACTTTACGATTTTAAACCTTCGGAAGATATTTAGATATCAAATTTAGAGTTACCCAAGGTCATACCCTGTCACCCTTGACCTTTAAATAATTTTCAAGGTTGCTGTCAAGGGCGAGTCCAAGATAGTCATCGAATAATCTTCAGGACTTTACGGTTTTAAACCTTCGACCTTCAAAGATCAAATTTAGAGTTAGTCAATGTCATACTTAGTCGTATTTTATACTCTCTTTGCACCCAAGACAAAATTATAGATATCCCTTCAAAACACAACTCTTGATCTTCCAATAAGTTTCAAAGTTGCAATTAGGAGCACGTCCAAAATAGCCATCGAATAGTTAGGAAAACATCTTCAGTACTTTACGATTTGGACTTTCGAACACCTTCGGGAATCAAATTTGAAGTTACTCAAGGTCATACTCGGTCGTAATTTTTCTTGCTCTGCATTCAAGATAAAATGATGAATTTTCCTTCAAAACACTACCCTTGACCTTCAAATAATTTTCAATGTTGCGGTCAAGGACAAGTCCAAGATAGTCATCGAATTGCCAGCAAAATATCTTCAGTACTTTACGATTTTAAACCTTCGACCTTCAAAGATCAAATTTAGAGTTACTCAAGGTCTCACTTAGTTGTATTTTTTGCCATTTTTGCATTTGAGGCAAAAAATATTGACTTTTTTTCAAAACATCACCTTTGACTTTCAATTTCAAGGTTGCGGCAAGGGCAAGCCCAAGGTAGCCATAGAATAATTACAAAAAAATAATCAGTAGTTTACCATTTTAAACCTTCGAAGATCAAATTTAGAGTTACTCCAGGTCATACTCGTCCGTAATTTTTTTTCTACTCTGCATCAAAGACAAAATATGAATTTCTGTTTAAATAGTGTCCTTGACCTTCCAATAATTTTCAAGGTTGTGGCCAAGGTCAAACGCAGGTTGCCATCGAATAGCTAGGAGAAAATCGTAAATCTCTGGTACCTCGGTTTTCTTTCATTCTGTATGTACTGTTCACTTTTTTCGCCGAAATTGGACAGTTATATTTTGTTATCCCAGATGGTGATAACGTATCTGTTTATATAAACCTACACCCTCATTATAGTTTCCCTTTTTTCCATAACATTTCGAGTGGTAGAAAAAAATATAAGCAGAACACCACAAATAATATAATCTGTTGGATTGTTGTCCAAATTCAAAGCTATCGTCTGTCTTTTGTGTTTGCTTCAGTTAAGATTAGATAAATCTAACGTTGAATATGAATTAAATAATCGCCGAGAAAATTGCCATAATGTTCACGTGAACAAACAAATTGATAAATTTTACTTGCCAGTACTCCAATAAATTAACGGTAATGTTCGTTTCTAGGTATTCATTCTCTAGATAAACTTCTTTATACAGGGTGTCCCTGGACTTCCTCTTTTCCTCTCGGGAATGTATAGATGGGGTCAAAATATCACCAGTACTTCATATAACTATTTTTCCTAAAATCCTTCGTTACCAAGTAACGGGCCCTCGAAGTTACAAAATGAAAAATGTTTTTCTTTGATAACTTTTCAAGTGAATATTCAAAATCATCCAAATTTTGGTAATTGACTAAACAAATGAATTCCTTCGATGAGCTTTCATGCAGGAGTCAGTTGTTTTGCTACAAAGTCAGGAACGGACTACCCCCGATGGTCCACACCCCAAAACTTTGAAATGACAGATATTTTTCAA